ACATCATCAACCCAAGGGCCAACATCATCAACCCAAGGGCCAACATCATCAACCCAAGGGCCAACATCATCAACCCAAGGGCCAACATCATCAACATCCGTACCAGTAACATCTCATTCCAGTTGGTTCAATAGAATTTTAACCAGTTTTGATTTTTTTTAAACAATTCAATTAAATTGTTCTAAAATTGGTCTAAAATTAACATGTTTGCTACCGACGCTTGAGAAAAAAATCTAAAACCATAACCCATGGAATTTTTTCAATATTTAAAAACGACGCATATATGCTTCGCTGTTAGTGAATAAATAATAAAAATAAGCAAGCAAAAAATTCTCTGAAATGTATTTTTTATTTTTATCGGATGATAACGTACATAGTGGTTTCATCCAGATTGATAATTCGCTTTAATAAATATGACCTTAAAAAATATAAAATTTTCATAGATTAACATTGTCGCAAAGCACAAAAGGACCTTTGATTAAATAAAATGCTTGAAACTTATCTATTTCATTCAAAAATGATAGTTATATTTAGTTAAAATCTATAAGCACTAGTCTCAAGTACCAATCAATTATTGTTAGCTTGGGTTTAAATCCCAATCCCGACATCGGTTTAAATATCGCTTTACACAAACCGATGATAAACCTAAAACAAACATCAGGAGAATTAATTCCAGTAAACATGTTATACGTTATGCAGATCTTCAAAACCCTCAAAATAATCAATTTGATGAATTGTTTTAAGATAAAAAATCAAGCACACTGGTTTATGCGTTTTTCAAAATAATGATATGTAAATAAAAAACTTCACATATCTATATGTGAACCAAATTTAACATTGTCATCAGTCAATTCATCAACAGATAATTTCTTTTGATTTTATAGATAAAAAATTTAAATTATTTTTATTTAAATAGAAAACAATTTGGAAAAGAATAAAATAGATTTATAATCAATCATCGAATTCAATGGATTTGGAGACACGTAAAATTCGAACATTAAATTTGTCAGAAACGGGATGATGATTTCCTTCCAATTCTAAGTTCGTTATCATTCGTGATGTTGATGGCTGTATCCAACTATAGTGTATTATGATCGTCTATATTATAGTTATATTTGTACAAATATTCAATCTGTTGATTATTTTTGTTATTGGATTACTTACCGTGAACGCATAAATAAAAATATAACACCTATGATTAACAATGCCGTTAGAATGGCCAATATGATAGTCGATACTTTATAACCATTATTATTATTATCATCATCAGATTTTTTAACATCAGATTTTTTAACATCACATTGTTCACCCATCCATTCATCGTTACAAATACATGTTTCTTGTTTTTGTGACATCGTATAAAAACAATCACCGTTATTACATTGTTTTTGACAATGATCTATTGATTGAAAATATTTGATTAGATTTACATTTATGAATTTGATCAAATAATTGATTACCATCGCATGATGAATTCAATTTATTAAGTAAATAGCCATTACTGCAAAGACAGAATGGCATTGGGGATTGTTGATCACCATTATTGTTGAAAATAATTGATGAATCGAATGTAAGTTTTGCTTGTAGTATCTGTTCAATATCATTTGGATTTTGGCCATCCAACATTAAACATTTTGCTTTAGAATCCTGACAGTGATATTCTAGATCTTGACATGATTTCACTATGTTGAAGAGATATAAGATAAAATACTGATTTATATTTATGATTAAGATTTTAAAATTAATATTTACATTTGCATGCATGATATTTATCCATCGATGGTGTTGGAAAATCTTCATCACGTTTATAGTAATCACTACATTTACAATCAAAATCAAATGAATCCTTTGAAGATTTACAATTTGAATTGGGAAACAAAGCGCACGGTTTTGATTGACAAATCTATGATTGAATTTGAAAAAAAATCATTTTAAATTCCGAATTTAAATTAAAACTTACATCATATGAATCTATAGATATTATAGAATTAATTTTTCGTTCAATTGTGATTTGATATCCCTCATTTTTTGTTTTTTTCCATAAATACACACATGAATCATTAGATGAATTCAAGAATAATTGATCCTTACTAATACAATAACTTTTCAACTTTCCTGTGATTTCATCTAGCTTTATATCAATATTTGCTGGAATTAATAATGTGGCTGCACATTTTAAAGAATCGTCTTCATTTTCCGTACAGGTGATATCATAAAATTTCAATTTTTTTTCATCAAACAAATTTTCCAGAATTTCGTGGAAATAGTGTTCAGTCTAAATTAGATAATGAAAATCAGAAAAAGAACTTATAATGAAATCGAATACATACAAGATTTTTGCTAGTGAGTTTTTTGAAATCCATTACGATTGTATAATAATGATTGTCAGTATCAGGTACACATTGTCCATCTGAATTCGTATGTAATCCAAAAATGCATTGACAATATTTTGATGTATCACTAATTTTTTTATGAAATCCTTGAACAAATGGTTCGTCTATTCTCCATTTCCCATTGTGAAATTCCAAAGATTGTTTTGCCTTTGTGGAATTGCATTCATAGAATGGCCCACCAGATGCTGAACAACTAAATAATGGATGATAAAATGATTTTGATGCAACCAGATATAAATAAAATGAATATCATCTATAATAATACCTTCGAACCAGTTTCGAATCACAAGGAGAAATACATTTAAAATTATTTTTATCACTTTGGTTACTAGCATATTTAATCATATTAGGTGGACATGGATTCCATCGACATTTGCCATATTGATGATCAAATTGTTGGCCCTCCGGACATTGACATTCAAATTTACCATCATCATCCAAGCTAAAACTTTTGCAACCAAGTTTTTCATGAATTTCATCGTGATCTATATGATTTTCATGATTCAATGTGAAATTTCAGATTTTAATTATTAAATTTCTTACCGTTTCCTACGCATTTTTTACTTGTTTCACTGTAATTATAACCAAGTTTACAATTACATTTATCATTTTTATCAATGTATGGCATTTCAAACTTTTTCAATATTTTTGAATCATCTGGCAAACATTTGGAAAGTTTTTTCTCAAATTTGCTTTTGATTTGGCATTTATTATCTGAATCCATTTCGTATAGATCGTTAAAGCAAGTACAATTGTGTTGGCCAGTAGTCTTGGTGAAATTACATTTTTGGTCACATTCCATGTTTAGATCACAAAAACGATCACTACATTGAGCCTTAGAATTAAAAATTCCTAAGAAATAATAACAAATTTCAAATAACATTCATTATTCGAATAAGAATTCTAAAAATATACCTTCCACATTGTAAAGATTCGATGGACAAATACAATGATATTGTTGATTCGAAATTCGTTGACAATTAGCTAAGTCATCTGTACATGGTTTTATCGGTTTTTCGCCTCTTTCTTGTCGATGATTTGGATCACAGATATCATATTTGACACAAGAATTATTGATACGAACAAAATTTTCATCACACATACAGGTTGATCTGTTCTCATGGGTGTATGCCAAATGTTCATTCTCTGGGCAATCTTTTTCAAATGGAGCCAAACACCTAGAATCGAAAAATTGATTAGATAATTCATATCAAATTGTAATTGGAATACTCACCATCTCATAGAACGAACCCATCGTTGGCCAGGTTGGCAACTGCATTCATAGTCCGCTTCTGAATTCTTACAAAGTCCTAGGTTATTGTGAATACAGTATTCGCTGCCCTGGTCACGCATACAATAATCAATCTGTTCACATTCATTGCCCGAAGTATAATTCACGCATCTGCAGCGATGAAATGGTTGAGGAGCAAAAAATCGTTTACATTCCCCCAATCCTTTTCTTTGATTGCAAAATATATTATTGATATTTTTGTCAATGCATGGATCATTTAAAGCAATTCCATTTAAAGTAAATTGAAGATCAGTTTTCTGTTTCGATTTGTCCATTTTGAAAACAAATTGTAACTGAAATTTATCAACATGTTGATTCATTCTTTTATAAATGATGGATTTTACTTCGTTTTCTTTAAATTCCTATAATTAAATGATTAGATTAAAAAAACATCAGACGTTTATCAATAATTTTTATACTAAATTTTACCGCAATTGAAATTCGTTTCGGGTCTTCAGAAAACGGTCGGAATTCAATAAAAACATCACCACCATTCTGGGTCAAATTACCGGCAATACTACGGAAAGCTAAATCAATGTCGAATGTATCGGCACTGGTGAGTTGATTTAGATAAATGAATTGACTTGTCAATTTAATTTCATAATTGCTTGCTCCGTTAACATCAGTTGGTGATAACAAAAGTTTAAGTGAATTATCATCAATTTGTATGATATTTTCGTGTGGAATGAAGTAATCATTTTTCAGATCATCAAGATTAAACGAATTAAGATTTGCCTTCCAATTTTGATAATTAGCTTTAAAATCAGCAATATATTTTAAGCCTTCATCCTGTTCCGATTGTTCAAACCATACAAATATTGTTTTTACTTCTTCAGGATTTGCTGATAAGTGACTAGCGCAAATAAATGATGGCAAATTTTGCGACGAACTAAAAATGTTTTGATGTTCGGGTTTGATTTTCGAATTAAACCATAATGGTGAATATAATGAATTGGATTGATCATGGCTAATAAAAATTCGATTTCCATTTCCAAAATAGTTGAATGAAATGCAAAAATCATCTTTTTGGTCGCCATTTTTTTTAATTTGGATTTTGTTTTTGTTCATGGTTGGAAAATAAAATTTTTTGATTTTTAAAATTTCATTACTTGATTTGAATGTTCCATCTTCAGTTCGATATAAATCCATTCTGAATAATTTTCTATCCAAAATGTTGGAACAGCCAACTGTTGAATTACAATTAACATGTACATCATGATAAATAGTTTGTAACCAACAACGATTAGTGCTAATTTTTTATGAAAAACAAAAAATTCAAAATGATGAAAAATATTAAATATTGAAATTACCTTTTATCGAATTCAAAATTTACTGGACAATCATATAAATTGTCCAATTTTTTATTGAACCAAAAATACGTTGGGCTATTAGGTGAAACAGGCTATATTTTTAAAAAAAGCGATTAGTTAAATTTCGATTCATGTTTAAATTCACTTACCTCTTTATCAAATCCTTTTTTGTCTATAGATAAAACACACAGTTTTTTATCATGAGTAGGATTTTCGAATTTATAGAAAATTTTGAATGGACCAATAATTTTTTCTTTTTTTAAATCACTAACATAGTTGCAAGATTTTTCAGTTTTTTTAAAAGGGATTGGTGATTGTTCCAAAATTTTTCCATTATAAAAAATAATTTGAATTGTGGCAACAAATGATTCATCACAATTCGTTGATTCTGATTCGATTTTTAAAGATAGGTCTTTTTCTTTGTTTTCATATGGTGCTTCTTCTACCCATTCGCTGAAACCCACAATATTTTTAATCTCTGTGATTTAGCGAATTAAGAAATGAATTATTTGATCAAACAAAAAAAACAAACAAACAAACCTTGGTTGGAAGTTTTTTTTATTGTTGATGATGGATCTCCCAATGTTAAGTTCAAGTCTTTGAAATTCTTCGATGGTTCGAACTTAAATTCTAGCCAATAATCTTTGAATAAATCGGACATTCGAGGTTTCAAAAGATCTGAGAATCCATTTAAGTAATATAAATCTGAATTGAATTGAATTGTACCAACGTTTTCTTTTCCCTTAAGAATCGTGACATTTTTCAAAATAATTGAGTCATCTTCAGATGAAGGCAATAGTGATGCAGAATATGCGCGAAGATCAATGTATGGAACGATAAGTGTTTCATTCACTTCATGAATTGTCATTTCATGTCCATTGATATCTGCATTATTAGGTTCCATTGTTTTTTTGATGTTTTTCAGAGTTTTTTCTTCTGTCGTCTCTGTCTCTTTTTCATAAACAGGTGTTTTTGTAGCATATCTTTTGATAATTGGTGAATGACTTAATGCATTTCGACTGAATGATTCTAGTTCATAAAAAAGTTCATCTTTGGTAACGTATGGAAAACAATTTGCCATTACATCACAGGCAAAAAATTCAATTGTATCATCGGGTTTCATCAACTTTATGTTATAATCAAACAATGGATGATTGAATATCCAATTATCATCGATTTTGTTTTCTGGTACTTTCGGTTTAATATTTTGATTTCCATCTGCTGAAAAATCCACTGTAAAGTTATTTTCGTCAGGTTCAACATTGATAGTGATCATAGTTGGCCCATTAGGATGTAATGCCAAATAATCTCCCAAACAAAATTCAGGTATTATAAGAGGAAGTTCAACTGCATCGGTTTCCTGGTTAAATGTGATGCTGATTTTTACCTTGTGTTTTGAAAGATTTTTTTTTTGATCAGCAGGTTTTATTTGTATACATGTCGTGCCAAAATCATTGTTCGATATTATATGATGTAATGTTGATTTATTAACTGATCCCTCATATTCGAAACTGTTTTCGTCAATTTTTTTGAATCCATCTTCCAAATTTTGGAAATTATTATTTGGATTTTGATGATCCTTTTTTGGGAAATCAATTTTTTGTTTATAAATAACTATATGATTCAAATATAAAATAAATACTTTATGATAATCTTGAAAATCAATATTTAATTTTAATTACCATCAATATCTTTAAAAAATATTTTTGCCTTTGTATCCTTTGCAAGTAATATGAGATTTTTCCATTGATCGGCTGATAATCTTTCCCATTTTGTTGCAGAGAATTCAGTTCTATTTTCTAATTCAATACGTTTTTCATTTGAATTTCCTTTATATTGCCAACGAAAATCATTGTCAGGTTTCCAATACTAAAAAAATGATACAATTAATTTTGTCAGAATCAATTCACTTTATCACTCTATTAATAATAAATGCTTACATTAAATGAAATGGAACAATTTGATTGTTTTTCATCAAATGGCATTAAATTTGTATTCAGCGTTAATTCATCATTGTCAGATAACTTGTTGTAAATATAGAATTCACCAACACTATCTACAAGTGGCCAATCATTCTTTGTTGCATCGGCAACAATCCAACCTGATGAATCTAATTAAATAATTAAACAATCAATAAAATGAATTCTAACTGATTTTAAATTCACTTACCAATATTCGGTTCTTCATCCGTCCAACATGGAATAATTAGCTGAAATGATATAATAGTGACAAACCAGATCAATTTATTGATCGTCTGGATTTGTTCACTATATCCTTTTTTTCGCATGATAATTTGTTTCCAAAAAATCCAATCAGATTAATTCGGATAAATGAAATATAATAAAATCAAATTCAATTAAAATCTAATAGATTGATTTATTAGTATAGATTTATTGATTTGTGATTTTGATCAAATGAGACAAAAAAATTAAATGAAAATGATTAACCAATTTAATGTTTTTTACATCGTCTTATTAAAACCATTCATTTCAAATTTGAAATGTATGGAATTTCAAGTGGATAAAAAATGTATTGAAAGAGTATTGATAATCCGGTATCAAAAAAAAACAGTCCCCTTTTTTCTAGCTAGTTACTATATATTTTTCAAGTATTTAATGTCACGTCAGAACTTAGAAAATAGGAGAAAAATCAAGATCAATCAATCAATTAATCAATAGATCGATCCAAAAGAAATACAGTCATCAACCGATTTACGAATATTTATACATACATTCAAACAAAAAATTTCTCTAGAAATTAACATTTGTATTTCCCGAACTGATTAACATTTTGAAAAATTTATCAGTACTCGTCAATCTTTCGGTCTTTCTATAATGATTTTCCTCGAAAAATAAATCAACAATCCTTTTCAATTAATTGTATTTTGGAATAGTCGGATTATGTTTCATAAATTTCAATTCTGTTCGCATTTCGGTTTTTTTTAATTTATAACCCTAAAAACTCAACATTGAATACTCGGACCTTGATAAATTTGAATTAAAACTTTCAAAAGTCATTGTTAAAACAGTGAATTTTTATTTACGAACAAATTCAAGTTTCTCTAGAACAGTATTCCGAGTAAATCGAGTGCTGACTGTATATTGTTTTAGTGAAATATCTTTTATTTCAAATGTCTAGCGATGTCTCCGACCACTTGACAACATCGTTTTGAATCCAAATAGTAAGTAATATGTTCCATTTTTTGATTGATCATCATAATCTAGACATTCAGGTCTCTTAGCAACTTATTTTCCATTATGAATAAACAAAAAAGAAAGAAAGAAAGAAAAATAAATAAGGTAAAGTATCAAGTGGCTTTCAATTTCAATGTGCAATTCAAAATCCATTTCCTCACATCTTCACTGTCACCTCTTTAACAACCATCTGTCCATTTATATCTTTAAAAAAAAAATTTTATCAGAAAAAAATAAAATCAATTTTTTTCCATTTTTAATAATTTAATGTTTGATTGTGGTTTAATTTCCGCCAATTATGAATCCGGCTCAAAATATATTTCTTTTTCTTAGAATATAGACATATTGATATTAATTAAATTGATCCAATTTCTTTGATAAATTTATAGACTATGAGAATGGTGATTAATAATGAAAATTATTCTTTCAATATTCATATGAAACATTAATAATTGTATGGCTATGCAATTTAAAATCTATTTGCCAAGGATTAAGATTCACAATCATAATATGTTCAATATACGATAAAAAAAATCAAATCAAAAATAAAAACATTGAAGATATATCTTCATTTATACTTGATTATACCACTACGACAATAATGAAATCATTTCGAATATGCATCAAATGATGATAAATTTAGCGAAGAAACAACACTAACATACTAACAAACATACACATGTACGATATTAATCCAAGAACGTCATAATGATCAACATCCAGCCAACTCCATGATTATGTTTTGTAAGATTAATATGTTTATTGAAAACAAAAATAAAACCAAAAAACAATTTGTTGGATTTCAGTTTGATGTCTATAGACTATAGTTAGAATTCTTTATAGAGAAAATACAAACATTTAATTAGAATCAATATCATAAGTGAATATATGAAGCCATCGATGGTTTTCACCAAGACGACCATGCTCCATAATTCATGATGAATGCACCATTTCATATAATCAGATATCGAAATAATGTACATATATTCAAAGTTATAAATACATTAAAACAAGTTTAATATTAAACAAGTTAATTGAATTAATCTACCGTTTATTTGTCAATTCATTTACCATCATCATTCAAGGATGAAGATAAATTTAATACATATTGAATTACGTCAGTTCGTGAATTCTTGAATCAACAAAAGGCAAGTTATTCGGATAATTATTCTGTTTGATGATGATTGTTGCTCAATGTTTATTATCAATTATTTTGAAATTTGTCTAATTGTTTTAATCAGGACTTGTTCATTAAAATCAAACAACCGATTTTCCTTAAAATAGCTTATCTATCAAAAAGATTATGATTTCGTTTGTTGTTATCTGGTTTGCTAAATTTTCTATTCGAAAAAAGGGTTACGATGGCGAAAACTAAGATGTTGATTCAACGACGAATACGAAAAATATCTAGATATGTTTGTTGTGGCCTCCATGACAGCATCATTGAAAGTTTGAAATCAATTTTTAGGCCAAATTTAACAACGACAAATCGAACAATTTCTCGACATTTTTTTCTAATTTATGTGATATTTGCTTTGTTAAACTATTATTCCGGCAATTTGCTCATGATAAATGCAGCCAAATTAACATTACAACAACAACATTCAACAATTGCTGAACATCGATTAATTATGCAAGATCGTGCCATACTACACATCAATCTAATGAATACTGTTGGGCTTTGTCGTGATCCACGACCCTTAATTGTTTATCCTCCCTCATCAACAAATAAAATTTTTTATCCACGTGGAACAGTGAGTACAGATAAGAAATGAATTCGAAATGAAACTCATTCATAACTAATTTGATGGTAATAAAAATATTCAGATAATTCACCGTTGTTCAGATCAAACAGGCTGTTGTCCAAATCCCGGCGAATTGTGTAGACCAGAAACTGTAGAAAATGTGGAGAAAGTATTTTTTGTCAACTATTTTATGCTCGGACAACAGGTATCGGCTGGTCAACGTATTGCACCGCGTTTAAAAGCAATGAAAACAAATTTCACAACAATGACTGAAACGGTAACATTTGTCAATCATACATCATGTAAATGTATACGGCTGGCACCGAATACGATTGAACATGATGATATACAATCGGTGATTAGTCGTCCATTGGTCACCACTAATAGTCCATTGCAAACAAATTCAATTCTTTACCATTTGATTGGTTCGCTATCTATATTGGCCATTATAATAATATTGTTTTTCATCTATAAATTTATATGCATTCATAGTTCAAGACTTCGAAATGGTCAACTTGTTTGATTTCGGCAAGAGTTTTTCAATGTTTTTTTAAAAATCAATTGATTTTATATTTTTTAAAAATAATATTGTAATAATAATCGATTTTTAATTTCAATCATTAACAATAATGTTTTAATATTAATCTGATACGCTGAAATTATAGCCCCAATTATTGGTGTACTGAAATTCAAATTAGTGAAATGCACGAGTTGAACTAAGCAATCAACTTTTAATTAAAAGAGTAATTATTTTCACTCTTTGATTATATCACCATGGTAATCTGTTAACGACCGGTATGATTATTTCAGAACAAATCATGTTTTATGACCATGAGACCTTCGGTACTTAATAAAAACGACAACAACAAAAAAATATCTTAAATTCAATTGCGTTGAATAACCATTTTCATAAGAAAATCATAAAAAAAATTTATTACAACAGCTGTTATCTATGAGGGTTATCTGACGATTATCGATAATTTTAGCTATGGATTATATCTGTCCTCATTTCCTACTGATTGAATGATAAGATATTTAAAAAACAAACTTTTAAATGGATACTTATTAGGGTTTCATTATACACTAATTGATGAATCAAAATCCAAAATCTTTTTAAAATTCAACATTGTGAACAACCTACAGTGGACATGTTAACAAATTATTTCGTCAAATTTATTTGGTTATCTTTACTGACCATTGTCATATTAGCCGATCCATCCATTAATGATGATGAAAATCCAAGTGAAGAACAATCTACTAATAACAGTCTTGAATCAGATCCAATCGATGTACAAATGTTGGCAGATGAAACGGCTTTTTTCTATGTTTATCTAATGTTAGAATTTTTTTTAAACAAATTCCAAGTTCTAATCTTTTAATTTTTTTTCTTATAAATTTGTTGTCACAGAAATCCACCCGAAAAACCAGTCAATGTTTCGTTTATATGCGAACATTCACCATGTTCAACGTTTGATCATCAGATTAATCCCATTCAATTAACTAGCGACAACTATAGAATACAAATTAATATAACAGCAGTACGACCAGGTCATGATGTAATCATTTTCAAATTCAATGATACAACTATAAGGTATTTTCATTTATTTTAAATGTTCAAACGTAATACAATGAATTTTTATTCAAATGATTTTCAGTGATAAATTTGCTTTTACTCGTGTTCGAGTTGGTCGTGGTCAATTTTGGGCCATTCTTAGTCTGTTTTGGGGTTGGGGATATTTTTTTATCTGGTCATTATCATTTTGGCCACAGAATGTTACTAATTATAGACGAAAAAGTGTCATCGGCCTTAGTTTTGATTATACAATATTACATTTTACCGGTTTCATTTATTATTCTATATTCAATTGTGGCTTATATTTCTCTTCGGTCATACAAGAACAATATGAGGCGAAAATTCCACGAAGCGAAATTCCAGTTGAATTGAATGATGTTGTTTATGGATTACATGCTGCTTTCACAACATCCATTACATTTATACAATGTTTTATCTATGAGGTTTGAATTGAACAGGATTTTCCATAAATTTGAAAATATTAAAATATTTTTTTTATCCATATAGAAAGGAAATCAACGTTTTGCTCTTATATCAAAACTATATCAAGCGACCGTATGGACAATCGGTATTATATTAATCATATTGGTCTGGTTTAATGTGATCAATTGGCTGACATGGATATATTATTTTTCCTATGTTAAATTGATGGTCACGTCATTAAAATATATGCCACAAGTTTATTTTAATTTTCGTCGAAAATCGACTGCAGGCTGGACTATTTGGATGATTTGGTTGGATATAACCGGTGGTTCATTTTCAATGTTACAAATGTTAACAATAGCATATAACTACGGTATGACTAAATCGATTGAAATGAATACATTTTTATAAACTATATAATTTTATCAGATGATTGGCGAACATTATTAGGTAATCTACCTAAATTTGGTCTTGGTCTAGCATCGGTTCTATATGATCTAATATTTCTATTTCAACACTATATTCTTTATCGCAATTCAACAACAGAATTATCATCACCTTCTTCGTCATCAATTGAAAAATGTCCAAGTATCAAAGCTTCAACAATTTCATTACAAAATAGTCCTTGTAATTTTGATTCGACAACGATTCTTGTCCAGGCAAAACCATCTTCCAACAAATAAATAGATTCCTGTATATAAAATTGTTTCCATATACAATGACATTGAAACATTTTCAGAAATTAAATAGTTTTATTTCAATTTCAATAGTATTTTATGTAAATAAAAATTATGAATTTTTGATTCAACAAATAAAATTTTCCATTCATTTCTATCAAAGTTTTCTATTGTATTTGTCTAAGTGTATGTGTATCAATGTCATTTAAAATGTATGCGATGATTAATTAATAAGATAATTATCTGAAGTGTTTTTGATTGATGGATACAATAATAATTATAATTGATTTTTAATTAATTGGCAGAAAAAAACCAAATGATTGTATCACAATATCGACTCTGAAATAACATCCATGTATTAAAATATCAATGATGATATTCAATCTTAAATGAATTAAATTTTGTTGATTATGATGATAGCACTAGATTTTTTTTCATTTGCTTCTATTATACTCAAATTGATATCAAAATATATCAACAATGGATAGTCTAGATTAGCGTAATATTACCTTGGATGTCAATTGTTGTCCTCATTGTTTGTTGCTAATCGTAATACATAGGACATATTTTTGCTATTTTATTACATTTTATATATCAGAAAATTAATTAATGAAAAGTACACAAATACAATCATCATCATTATCATTAATCGATTACTGTGATGATTTGAAATAATCCAAGAGGATTAAAAACAATTATCATTACCACTTTATTGTTTTTTTTTCATCAAAATAATTGTTGCAATAACAATTTTCAATATAAAAATTTCATTTCTGGTATATATAAAAATATCGGTCTATGTGATTCACTTTTAATGTTTCTTCGAATTTTTTTTTCTAAAGAAGACAAACTTTTGAAAATGAAATTTTACAACGTTTTAACCATAACTATCGGTGTCATTTTATTGTCCGTTTTTGATAATGTTCAAGCCGATACAGTAGCTCAAGAACAATGTCGTCAATTACATCACGTGGATGTTGATCCATCTGGTACACAATTTCTCAACAATAATTGCCGTCTCGATTGTAATATTCATGGTAAAATTTATAGTCACAATATGAATGAAGGTCGAACTTGCATGGTTGGCCGAACCAATTATGTAGGTATCTACTTAATATTGTCTAACCCATAGTTAATATCAGTGATTATCGATCTAATAAAAATTTGAATGAATAAATCAGGTTTGCAGAAATGGTCAATGTGTTGGCAATAATCAACATGTTGGTCATGTTGATATCGAATTGATTTCGGCATCATTATATGACAAAGCTAATGCCTATGCCAGTGTTTGTATCAAGAATAATTCAATGCCTATATCGGTAAGTTTGACATTCTATTCAACTAATTCACAATTAATTAATGCCACTTTTTTTCGTTTAGCTTCCGATACAAGATCGACGAGATTGTATAACATGTTCAACTCAGGTGCGTTCCAATACCAACAATCCGATTTGGAATGAAGTATGCACCGGTTCCGGTAATTATTTATTAGTCAGTGATTCACGTGTCGCTATCGAAGTCTGGAACCATTTGGGTACTAGCAACAATATTTTCTTGGGTGGTGTCTCATTAACAATCGATCAATTGGTTAATCATGGTGATAATCATCGTGCAATTAATCTGGCTATGGCTGGCAATAAACCAGGACAATTAACTACTCGTATTACCTGGACACAACGTAATTGATTCGAGATGTCAAAATTAAAACAGGCATTCTCAAAAATTTATTTTTCTTTCAACTAAAAAAAAAGTTACAAATAAATCTTTTATAAACAAAACGATAGATGACACTAAAAGTTGTTTAAAATTATCGAGATAATCGATCATCAAGCATAGCTAGTGCATAAGAAACGGATGTCCAAAGTGCCTGACATTTGTCCAAATCATCTGGATGTTCGACGGTCATTGTATCACCTTGAGTATGATGAAAATAGAAATATTTATCATTGGCCGTATCTAGACTACTAATTGGTACACCGTTTTCATAGAATGCTTGAACATCTGAACCTTCGGTTGATATGGTCAATGTTGTTGCATTAATCGGATGCATCAATTGTAAAATTTCCCATAATGTACATTGTGATGTGCTATTTTTACCAGAATATGTGATGCCTCGCGGTGTGAATGTTCCAATATCCGATTCCATAGCAATCACATAATCCTTCAATTCATTTCGATGTTTTTTTATATAATCATAAACACCGATCAAACCAAATTCCTCACCCGTCCATAAAACCGACCGTAGAGTTCGTTTAGGTCGTAGTCCAAGCTTTTTAATTACCGATAATGCTCTCCATGAAATGAATGCACCAGCGCCATCATCTGAAGCACCTTGACCAACATCCCATGAATCAATATGACCACTGACCAATACAATTTCATTCGGATATTTTTCACCACGCACATCGCTAACAGTATTACGGGAAATACCTTTATCCTTTTCATTATGATTTTCCGAATAGATTTGAACAATTACTTCTTCTAAACTCAAAGAAAGATAATTTACTCATCAATCCATAAAATTGAAAAGTAGATTTTCTTACCATTTCGATCTGAAAATCGTTGAAACAGATCTGCATCTTCGGTAGTTATGCTAATGGCCGGTATTTTTGTTACATTTACATCGTAAGCTACGCATGTACAAAAAATTAATTATTTTCTTTTTCTTGTTTTTCACACTTACATTGCATTCCAGTATGTGGAGAATCAATCGAAAAAGGTGTCAATGATCTAATCTTTAAACAAAATTTACGTTATTTGAAAAAAATAGAATTAAAATGAGAATTTACCATAGCTGCGACGGCACCAAATTTAGCTGCACGACTTGCACCGCTATGTCGATATATAGCTTGTTTACCGTATGATTCATATTTAAAATTATAGACAACTATTTTACCCGGTATTAATCCAGCTTTTTGTTCAAGTTCAGTAAAATTTCTGACAACCACAATGGGTGCTTCGATTGTTTGACCATTTGTACCTTCACTGTAGCCAAGACCAAGAATATTCAATTTTTTATCTCTTGGTTTAATCATACGAGCCCATTCATTACCACGAGTCCATTTTGGAACCTGTACTGGTTCTCCATGAACATTATCATGACCTTCTTGTTTTAATAAATCAATCATATAATCAATAGAATCTTCAAGATTTTTTGTTCCGGTTAATCTTGAGCCAAAACGATCAACGAATTCGGCTAATTGTCGATATGTACGACCGGATTCATTTGCACTCATTACATGATCGATGATACGTTGTACATTGCTGGCTAATTGTTGAATTTGTGGCCGAATTCGTGTTTGAAACAGTTGATCATTTTCACAACCTTCACCATTAAATATGGATGTTGCATCTGGATTGGAATCTGTTGCTGCTACAGCAACAACCAAAATGATGCAAAAAAATAAAGATCGCATTGTGTTTATTTGTTTGTATAAATGTATCTGTGTATGAATGAATCAAATTCAGAACACAGATCAATCAAATTATGACAATATACGATTGATCGTCTAATTCATAAATGGGTTTCGATTCTGATTGATGCAATAGTTTTTAAATCATATGACAACGATAGAAACAGCTGCTATAAGCAACAAACAATCATCATATTTTTCCAAGATTATATTTATCAATATCATCAATTTGAAATAAATTATTAAAATCTTAAGTTCAAAGGTTCGATACGAATTGGTCACAAAGCTATAAAACGATTTTTTTTGATTGATATTATCGAATGAATGAAAATGAGGAAGAAAATTTTTTGTTTTTTTTAGTACAAATTCATATTTTTTGGTTAAAAATTGACTTTTTCGATTACTCAAGCAATATTTATGATAAAGAAAGTATCTTTAGATGATGAGTGAGCGAATTCATTCTAATTTATCAGAAAGAAAATTTGAATTTCTCATTTCAAATCAAATACACGAATACTGTCAACTAAGCATTTCCGAAAGCTGATTTTTTTTCCGAATGACCAATTGATAATCGATTGATTCGAATCATAATGAAAATTTTATCATTACAACTGTTAAATTAATTTGGTTTTTTTTGTCTACTTCATTAAGATGAGTTTTTCCAGCCTATTTCGATATAACTTTATCATTAGAAAATGATTTCCGTTTAATACATTGATTTAAAATTGATTGTTTTTCTGTGGAAAAAAAATAAAATAAAAGAAATGGACATTTTTTTCATCCAAATCATTAACGACCTTTAATTTTTAAACTTTTTGTATTTTGAAATTATTTTTTTTTTCTTTCTAATTTTGAAAATTCCGCCAATCATTGTTGAAATTAAATTGGAAAAAAACTACCGGATTCATATTTTAAACAAAATCATTAGACCTTCATTATTTGACAATGATCAACTAATAGATGATTGACGTAATTGATTTTCGTGTCATTTTAATGATCATCATCATTATTTGATGAAAATTTTCTCTATAATGATAATGATGTTTGATCAACAACAAAAAAAAACAAAAATAAATTTTGAAAATGAAAATTATTTTCATTAAAAACAATAGCAATGAATGAATTTATCCGAGAATCTCTCTTGATGAGAAGCATAACAACAGAAACAGAAATGAAAATCCAAATAAAAGCAACTACCGGATCGAATTATTTGTTGTCAACAAATCTAGTCGTCCCTAACCTATTTAGCATTGATGATTATAGAACATTGTCTTTCTTTCATTCACAAAGTTGATGAGAGAAAGTGAAAATGAAAAAGAGATATACACAAAAAAAAGTGCACCTTGAAAAATTCGAAAATTATCGGATGAATCAGACAAAATGGAAAAAAGAATGGTTGCAATTGACCATCAAAAACTATCATGGTTGTTGTCGATGATGATCAAAACAGGATTGCAATCCTGTTTTGATTTGATGGCCAAAACATATAAAGAAAGAAGAAAAAAAAGAGAAAGGTGGATAATGTCAGTGTCTCGCGTGTCTCAAGTTCCATACATACACATCCCAGGGCAAACAATGGGAACGATGATCCAATGATTGATTCATTCATTTTGGATTGCTCAATTTTATTTTTATTTCTTTCTCTTTCCATTTGTATTCTCAAACTATATTCATTTACCGATCCATGCTAACTATTATATGAACGCCATCATTAGAACATTGCGGATGGTGATGTAGAAAAAAAAACAGAAAAAAATGATCGGAAATTAATGAAAACTTGTTTTTTTTTCGGGCACGTGTGTTGTGGAAATCGTTGATAATATAAAAAATTGAACAAATAAATTGAAAATAAAAGAGCAAAGTAAAAAAAATGATGCATTCAATAAACGGATAGAACAACGAAATCAATGAGAAAGAGAAAATAAAATGTGAGAAAATAAAATGTGAGAAAATGAAAGACTTTTTCGTATATTCGTAATTTATTCGGTTTCAAGGTGAAACAAAAAAAAAATTCAATTTCAAATCTTTTGACTCTATTTATCGTTGTCTGTGTGTTTACAGGCAATAATTGTAAAGTATTTGTAATCATTTCATATAATTTCATATGGATTCCATCATTTTTTTTTCTCTTTTTCCATTTTTTTCACTTCGTTTCTCTTCATAATGATTATTTGACCAATTTCCATTCATATTTAGTGATTTGATTCTCAAGTCATTTTTATTTTATATTCCCTTCTTTAAAAATCATTTTTCTAGTGATGTTTTTTTTTAAAAAAAATGTTGTTGTTGTTTCATAATCGTTTTAAACTTCATCATTTTTTGTTGTTGTTGTTGTTTATAACTTATTCATTTTGTCTGTAACGAAGAAAAACGATGAGCGATTTATTTACAGTATTTTTAAATGTTGTTGAATGATTCTAAATTATACAACGCAACTAACAGTATTTTTTTTATTGAAAGAAAAATTTCGTCATAATCATTCATTATCAATGAATTAAGAATCAATTCTATATAGAATTAATATTTACATTATTAATGATTTGAATGAATTTTTATACATATTTACTATTTTTTTTTGTATGATTTAATCTAATTATGGTGGTCATTTTTTTTTGTCGTTAATTTTTTTTGTTTTGTTTTCATAATAAAAATGAAATAAAAGGGAAAAAAACATTTTGTAATAAATTGATAATTAAGCTTATCAATTGTCGTTTCTTTGTTATAGGGAAATTTTTTTTTGTTTTGGTGCAATTCATCAAAAAGTTTCATGATAAGTGCGAATGATTCGATATTTTCGTTAACAAAAAAAAAAAATTTCCGTAAATTCGTATACATTGTAATCGTCATTATCATAAAATTGATCAACTACAAATCAACCTAAAAAGTAATTTCAACTAGTCAACAGTTATGAACATATCATGATTAATCTGATTTCTAATTGTGGTAATTTTTGTTTTGTTTTGTTACGTATGATTGCTCAATTTTAATGAAATCTGACCATTTTGTTTTTGACGTTTGAACATTATGTGTTTCCCCCAATGTGTATATATCAACCAAAATTATATCAATAAATATCGTCAACTTTTATTATAAAAATCATTACAGCATCATTTTTTTTCAATGATCAGATACGATCAAAATTTAATCGAAATATAAATTTCATTTTTCAAAATTATCATCGATTACTTGTAAATCATCCGATTATATTATTGATTAATTATCTTATTTTGTTCAATCTCATCAAATTAATTAGAATTTGTTTTTTCCCCATGAATTCTTTATTATGTTTGAATTGTTCAGATCTTGACCATTGTCAAATTTTCATTAAAAAGTTTGTTATCAACAATATATTGTCAAACAGGAACACAACATCCGAAACATCAAACAAAATATTCTCTTTTGTTTATTCTTTATCGATATTCTATTATCTTTATTGAAATTTTTTTTAAATTTATCGTTTTTCAATAACGTCACCAAATTTAGTGTCCTTGTGTGTGGTGTGAGTGTGTGTATCTTGTCTTTGTCTGTGTATTCTTCTATTGTAAGTTTTTTTTTCGCTCGTTTATTTCATCACGTTTGTTTGTATATAAACAGATTTTAACAACGAAACAATACTAAAATCTGACAACTGTCGACAGCCATATTTTTTCATTCATTTCAAAATCATTTTTTTTGATGACAATTTTGAAGCCTCTGGCTTTCAAGAAAAAAAATTATATATTTTGATTACTGGAAAATCATTATTAATAACAGTAACACTAATTTTATTTATTCAAATTATTCAGATTTTTCGCCGTGAGAAAATTTCATCATGACAACAAATACTGAAGAATCATTATTGTCTAACATAGATCATGATAGTGATCTTGAACATTATGGCCATCATCATACAACGATGACCATGATGACAACAACAACTAAATCGCCATTATTATCGTTGATATTAAACTCTACGATTTCAAATTCAAAAAAATTAATAGACAACATCAACACAACAACAATATCATCGATGATGGTCAATGATGCTGTGATGGCCAATGATGATGATCATTATCATCATATGGTTAATAGTGATAATAATAATGATGATACAAATGTAAATATTCTTATCGAATCCTGGAATCGTAGTGGATTTCAATTGCCCAATATCTATACGCTGCCAACACCTATAATTGTATTATCAATCATAGCCATAGTGTTCATCATATGGATGATCATCAAATTTATTCAAGCATTGTGGACATTTTTTATCTGTTATATGTTAGGTTTCGGTGCTAAATGGCGGCCAGGTTCTGATAGTTGGGCCATTATAACCGGTTCAACCGATGGTATTGGTCTTGCTTATGCCAAAGCAATGGCTAGAAAAGGTTATTGTGTATTTCTTTTGAGCCGTAATCAACAAAAATTGGATAAATGCAAAGCCGATATACTCAATGAATTTCCTAAATGTCCACAAGTAAAAACAATGGCTGTCGATTTTACATTGGATACAATTTATAAAAATATCAGTGATGAAATTAATGCCCTAAATGGTCATGTACATGTTCTTGTTAATAATGTCGGTATGGCTTATAAATATCCGGAATATTTTACCAAAATACCGAATTCCGATCAATTCATTTCAAACATTTTGAATTGTAATATTTTATCAGTTACACGTATGACACATATTATATTACCGATGATGGAAGCACGACGATCCGGTATAATTATCAATGTTGCATCATATTCAGCTTTATTTCCAACACCATTTCTTTCAATATATTCAGCATCGAAAATTTATATGGATTACTTTTCTCGTGCATTACATTCGGAATATAGTGATCGTGGTATTGTAGTACAATCGGTATTACCATATTATGTATCAACAAATATGATACGTAATCCAAGAATTTCATTTATGATACCATCGCCTGATCAATTTGTTAATTCTGCATTAAAAACGGTTGGCGTTGAAACACGTACATATGGATATTTTGCACATAATGTTTTAGCATTTTTTCAATCATTTATTGTTAAATTTATTATTGGTAATAATCTTAATACAAAAATCGCTTATCATCGTATGAAACGATTACGTAAAGGATGTTATAAACGTAAAGGACTTAATCATTATGTTTGATGAAATTTTCGTAAAAGTATTTCAATCAACGATCATCATTATCATCATCATCATCATCATCATAATTTTCTGCTTAAAAATAAATCATTTATATTTAGAATGATGATCAGGATATACATTGATTATTTTATAAAAAAAGTATTGCCATTGTTTAATTAATGTATTTTTCCCGATTAAATTGTTTTTTTTTTCAAATTCATAATTAAAAATATTTATGTTAAAACTAATTATGCATTATTATCTAGATTTAAAAAAATCAATTTGTCGTTTCTTTATTGCTCGCATTACGTTTCTAATCTCAATTGTGTTGATAGTTTTATTATTGATTTTGTTCATTTGTTTCAAGCAAAATTTTTTTTTCTTAACACGAACACACTACATCTGTATCTGTATTTTTCTCGATTGAAATCAATAATTTTATTGTCACCTTATTTAGAATGTAAATGTTATATGTTTTTTTGCTATTTCCAGGGATTTCCAGAATCTATTCAATTTCCAATTCATTATTTGACAATATGCACTTTTTTAAATGTATTCATTTTCCTGTGATAATACGTAAATTTAATTACGTAAAATATAAGGAAGTCATACAAAACAATATCAATTGTTCATTTTAAAATTGTCTGGCAGAAAAAAACAAAAAACAAAATTCGTAAAACGTCATTTGAAATTTTAATATTGATTCTAATCATTGTCATTTTTTAAAAGTTGGTTCACAAATCTTTTTGACGAAAATTCACGACAATACAACATCAAGTTCTATTTATCTCATCCATTAATCTATTTAAAAAATAACGAAAAAAAAAGTTACAAGCTCATATGACAAATGCATTAAAAAAATGGAAATGGAAATTATCATTGACATTGCACTTTATATTTAGGAATATGAATGTATTTCATATCAATCATGATGGTCATTATGGATTCATGCATTGTCGATAATAATTTAATAATTATTATTATCATGCAATACAGACACACGAATTGACGGTTCGATGGCTTTTGCCATGAAGCTATTATTAGCGGATCAATTTTTTTTTCGATTGACACAATCACTAATCAAATGATCAAAATTTTATTTTTCTCCTACCTAAGCAAAATTTAGAAATTTTCAATTACAATTTTATAATTAAACAATCTCCAATGTCAATATGTATGCAATAATAGATACTTAAGCAAATAACGTCATTTCACAATGTCAATCTGTTTTTCACTATCGTTTACATTTATACTCTTGATATGATGATCTAAGATGGAAATCACATTGAAAAGATTTCTTATTTTTCTTTTGTTAAACAAAAAAAAAATTGACACGTTTGATTTGTTGATTGATGTGATAGTCAGGTGAATGTTTAATGATGCATAACAATGTCTTTGTAATCTTTATTGCTTTCTCGATTCTTCTTTGTTTGACATCTCGACAATATCGATGACAGTGTTAGAAGTGGCTGCTGATTGTTCAATATTATTATTATTCACATTGTTATTATAATTAATCGATGTAATAGATTGATCAAATAGTATTTTAATCAAACGAACATAAGGACGTTCGAATGTACAATAATGACAAAATGCCAATAATGTAGAAATAGATGCAGAACCGAGACCGATGAATACCTAAAGATGAAAAAAAATCAATAATTATTATCATTTATTAAACCAATTTGATTTTAAATCATACCAGATTGAATAAACTTATTTCGATTGATTGACGAATGGTGAACATATAATGCCAAATAGGTATAATATGAATCAAATAAATGCTAAATGAAAGTCGACTAAATGGTTGCATGATTTCAGCTTCGAGAAAACGTTGTATGATTCCACCCTGTCGTCGTACACATTGCCAACATAACCAAAAAATTCCTAATGACCAAATGGATCTAACTAAACCAAACATTATGGCAGAAATTAATGGATCATCAACAGGTTTGTCCGTATCAACAAATGAATATGAACCAAATGGTTGCAGCAGGAATAATGGCCCAAGTATAATCCATATTAGGTAATTTTTCCACTGAAAATTGATGAACATGACTTTTGCTTTCTTTTAGATATTTATTATAATGCACATACTTTGGACATTTGTTCGTTTTGATGTTTTCTTTGAGTCAACCAAATACCAAATAATGCTCCAACAAAATAGGGTATCAAATGATTCCATGTTGCAAAAATAAAAAGTTCTACTTGTTCCATCGGAAACCTTGTTAATTATTCCTAAATTATTATCATGTTTAATAATGAATTAATTTTAGATTACCGATAATTTGGATGTAAAAAAATAGATGGATTAGGTGCTGAACCCCATCCAAATGAAACAATTATAATTGGTATGAAAAATCCAAGGCCAATCATTATAATCGAATATAAGATGCTCAACAATGATCGCCTTTTCATGAAAAAATAGATAACAATGTACAGTAGGATATGTAGTTGAAAATCAGCACTCAGATACCAATGCATTACATTGCACTATGGAAATTTAATTCAAATTGAATAAATAAGGAAAGCGTGTATAAATCTTGATGACAATGTATTTGTATTTACCACTTTTTCTGATGGAAATAGATTGCTTATATAACCAAAACTTAAATACCAATTCTTGTAGCAAGGTTCAGTAATGAATCCTATATAATCAGAATGAAATAATGGACCTTGTCCAATGCGTGGCCATAATAGTAATAAACATGTTGCACCTAGTAATGATGGTGTGAAACTTTTATGAAAGATTTGATTATTTTCAATAACAATGGCCTACGAGTAAAGATTACCGAATCCAACGAAGCCATATATAAGTAAAAATATTAATCGATCGATTTGACCGTTCAAAATTAGTATTCAATACAGTATACACGGTAAGTGCACCACTTATGAAGAAAAATGTTTCGACAGCTAGACCAGCATTAACGATGAAATGTGCAAATATATTCCTTATGATAGAGAAACGTGTGTTGACCGAATGGATCGGTGACACGAGATCTTCATAACGAATAAACGGATAGAATAGAAAGACATGAGCCAACACAATCCAATAGATGGATAAAACTCTTAATCCATGGATGAATTTGAATTGAGTTTTTTCGCCATTCGATTCATTCTGCTTTGAGCGACTAATTCGAAATAATGTTCGTGCATTTTCAATCAATGAAAAACAGTTCAAAATCTCTAGCATGCCTCTAGTCGATTCTGTTCTTTTAACAAATAATTCCATTATTGTAGCAATTAGTAGCAATAATAAATGACCGAGAAAGATAGTCCTGCATAGAAAATCGTTATTTAAAAAACGAATGGGTTGGGACATCATCTTACATAATTATTTTCTCGCCCATTCTCACAGGTACATTGATGGTCTGCGTTTTTCGATCCTGACAAAATCTCATTCGCGCACGAAGATGCGATTCCTTTGGTATAAAGACTAGTATTCATTTTAGCAAGATGGTAATGAATGAAAAAAAAATAATTGTAAAATTTACTTTCAGTAACAATATCGTTGATTTCCATATCGTTACAACTAGACGGCAAACAGAATCCATTGTTGATGCCAGAAAAAGATTCCCAATTATATATGAATCGAATCGATTCATACAAAGTTTCCATTTCATCATTATTGAAATTCGTAGGTAAAGGTGGATTCTTTGAATCGGCCACGTCTTGTAATTTAATCTCCATTATACAGTACTTGCCTTCAATATCATTATTATCCGCTGATTTTATTTTGAGACATTCATCGAAATTTCCAGGTTCAAAAAAGGTACCTTCAAGAATACCGGATGGAAAATGACCATTCGCATCCCACACTGAATGATAAGAAAACAATAAAAAATGATCGTTTCACTGAATCTAGAGTTGTTCACTCAACTTTTTATAGTCCAATTATGTCGAAATGGATTCCGGAAATATTCATTCAATGCATGTCGACAACCATGGCTTACATTTGTTTGAGTTGATAATAACTTTTGCAAACGATCATTCCAGGTGATAAATTGCTGTCCGAAATTGGACAAATCGAATTTATTATACCATTGTTGTAAAACTCTTGATAAATCGGTGTCATTATTTTCATTATTATTATGATTAATATTCACCGATTCACAAACAAGAATCTGACAAAAAATTATGGCCGTTAAAATTTTCATCATGTTAATTTGCATTTTGCTAAATGATTAAAAACTCAAAAAATAACAAACGATTTGGATGATTTTTTCTAACAAAAAATATAATTTAAATAAATCCTTGAAAATTCGGTTAAGTTTTTAACAATATATAAGGTTTTATCATTTTTTTTTAATTCAGTTGAAAAAACCAGATAGAAATAACAATTTAATTATTGACAATGTCATTTGCTTTTGTTATTATTTTGGTAATTTCTTTATCCACCGTAGTTCTTTCGATAACCATAATGCTATCGATAATGTAAGCATCGCATTGGCCTGATGAGCTGAAGCGATTTCGATTGGTACGTATTTCAATAATGCAGTTACGCCAAGTGTCGCTTGGGTTATGATGGCTAAGGCTAATAGATTCGATGCCATTCGTGCTTTTGTTGGTAGCTTAAGCTTCAATGAATATGCCCAAACACTCAGGACAAAAATGGCTGTTAATTCACCAAGATGTCGATGTATAAATTGAACACAAGTTGGATTTTCAAAAAAATTTTTCCATAATGGCTGTTGACGGAACATATCTGTTGGAATCCAACGATCAGCCATCTTTGGCCATGAATTATAAACTAATCCAGCATCCAAACCAGCTACGAATGCACCGGATAATGCTGTGGCAAATATGAACAATTTGGATCCTGCAGCTAATCGTTTAAATAGAATCAATTGCTTGGTAACGATAGGAGTTCCTTTGATCAGACTATCAGGCCAAATATTGACAAGACCATTATAGAAAATGAGAGTATAGAATACCATAGCGGTACCCAAATGAGCGGCTAAACGATATTGACTAACACGAGGTTCATGTGTATATACTTCCTTCTCTTCAAGACCACTTTTGACCATATACCATCCAAGTAATCCTTGAGCAGCTAGGAGCGAACCAAATATTCCTACGCGAATTTTTGTAGATTTATTCAACCAATTACGTGACCAAAACAATGCTGCAGGTATGAAATATATAGCACCGATCGTACGGCCTAACATACGATGAATATATTCCATATACCAGATTTGTTTAAATTGATCCAATGTGATTTCTTTGTTTTTGATTTTGAATTCTGGATATTGTTTATATTTTTCAAATTCTTGTTCCCATTGATCAGTATTGAATGGCGGTACCTCTTTGAATGGATGCCAATCGACCATGGACAACCCTGATTCAGTCAATCGAGTAATGCCACCGATGCATATCGTAGCGAATGTCAAACCTGCACACGATAATAGCCAGAATCCAATGATACGATTTCGCCTCAGTAGAGTTACATTAGATTCTGGGACAGTCGAAAATTTTCGTAAAGAATGTTTTATCGATTTGAAATGAATAGACGATTTCGGAATAAAATAATGCCTGACAACATTCTGACTGTTACGAAGATTTGATAATATCAATGGTCGTACTGCTTGAACTGATAAAGCGTATTTAATTTGGTTACAAAAATTGCGTCTAAATAATGTAGACATCATTTTTTAGAAATCAATAGAATCGTCAAAGTTCAAAAAATTGCCGAACAGCTGTGCATGGAAAAAAATTGGCCAAAAATTTTCCGAATTTTAATTTTGTTACAGTAAACCGTTCATAAAGCATGTGTAATGATATTATTAATGAATTCACCTGTTATTGTATAAATATACACACATAATGACTTTAAAAAACTTGATACTCTAGTTTGAAGATAACAAATTTATTATACAATGAAAAAGGAACAAAATGTCTTATGTTTGATGATTTTCGAGTCTTTGAGTGCCAACAAGATACTCATATTATTATAAGGATACTGTATGGTTTGTTTATGGCAAGGCGATAGGCTGAAAATTTAACGGTGACATTTTGTTCAACGAAAGATTGTCCTTCTCGACATTCTCACATGATTTGATCATACTTTTTTTAAGCCAATTCTTTCCTCAATCAATTCAAACCGTTTGCTTCTTTTTAAATTTTATTTTTTGTTATTTTAAACTTCATTTTATTCATTGCTTTCATAAATAAACATGGCGTCGACGGACAAACAATCGCAACAGATTCCTAATGTGGTCAAATTTATTTTTGGTGGGACAGCCGGGTATTTATTTCTACTATTTAATTTTTTTCTATACAATTTCATTAATAATTCATTGATTTTTGACCATAGTATGGCTGCTACTTGTTTCGTTCAACCTTTAGATTTGGTGAAAAATCGCATGCAATTGAGCGGTTTGTTTTGATTTTGATTCGATGATGAATATTCGTTAATTTGACTATTATTGTAGGTGTTGGTGGGAAAGCCAAAGAACATAAAACCAGTATCCATGTAATACGAGCAGTTGTTGCCAACGAAGGTTTCACTGGTCTTTACGCTGGATTATCTGCCGGTCTTTTGAGACAAGCATCATACACAACTGTTCGAATGGGGGTTTATACATCTTTGTTTGACTGGTATAGTCGCGAACATGCACAAGGAAAACCGCCAGGATTTTTTATCAAAGCCGGTCTTGGTATGACTGCCGGAGCAATTGGTGCTTTTTTTGGTACACCAGCCGAAGTATCTTTGATACGTATGACATCTGATGGTCGTTTACCGCTTAGCGAACGTCGTGGTTATAAAAGCGTTTTCGATGCCCTCATTCGAATCACTCGTGAAGAAGGCGTTCTAACATTATGGCGTGGTTGCATACCAACAATGGGTAGGGCAATGGTGGTCAATGCTGCTCAATTAGCATCATATTCGCAAGCCAAACAATTTTTATTGTCAACACCATATTTTCGCGATAACATTGGCTGTCATTTTGCTGCCTCAATGATTTCTGGGTTGATAACCACTGCCGCTTCTATGCCCGTCGATATTGCCAAAACTCGCATACAGAATATGAAAATTATTAATGGAAAACCCGAATACACTGGTGCAATCGTAAGTGTTTTTTAAAATTATTAATTTTATCATTATTTTTTAAATTTTCATTTTCATTCAGGATGTTTTAACAAAAGTGATTCGTAATGAAGGTTTATTTGCCTTGTGGAAAGGATTCACACCATACTATGCCCGATTAGGTCCGCATACAGTGTTGACGTTCATTTTTCTGGAACAAATGAACAAAAGTTATAAAAAATATGTATTTGGAGATACATCTTCGGGTGGTGGGCTTTAACAAATAATTTTGCTTGTAATTAATAGAAATAATGAATATTGTTAATTTCCAACCCTTAATTATCCAATTTCTTTTAGTGATTTTTTATGAGGATTTTTTTCCGCTCATGTTTTATTTCAATTTGTGGAATTTAGCTTTATTATTATTATTAAAATAATCATTCCCGGTTTTTTTAACATTCGAAATTTTTATAACAAACCAAAAAAGGATATATTTTGAGTATGAACGGTATGAGCGCCATCTCTGGTCATCCATCATCTGTTCCAATCAAGTAAATTAATTTTTTTTTTGTTGCAAATATTCAATCGAAATCATTTATTAAAATTAAATAATAACAATAAAAAGAAAGAGAAGGCATTTTATCTTCTTATGACATGTTGAATGTATAAGTTATATTGTGTGTTAAATCTTCTGAAAGAAAAAAATTTTTTTTAAGAAGGGTGATTTAGATCGTAGCTAGTGTTGGAAATCTGTTTTATATTTTAACAGATATGTTTTGGATTAAACGAACAAAAAATCATATATACATTGATGAAGATTTTTCTAAATATTAACGAAATCAAGATAACTACACATACAGAAAAAATTAAAAAAAAAATCAAAATTTGCCAAATGAACAATTTAATCAAACAAACAATCAGAATGGCGATATAACGAAAAACAGGATATATTGACTTATTTTTGGCACAAATACCCTCTTTTTTTGAAAATGGCCATAACTTTGTTGATGGCCCGTTGAATATCACATTTAAATAAAACATGACTTTAATTGTAAGGTGACTTCATTTCGTTTAGTGAACGAAATTAGTAAAAAAAACAAAATTAAAATGAAAGAAAAAGGAATCAAGGGTACTGGATTATCACACTTGATGACATTTGACGGTTGAGAATGGTGGATCAGATTCAAATTGTCTTTTATTAATTGACAATTTGATTTTCTGTATCGTTGACTGCTATAGGCATAATGTTTGGTGGTTTCAGATGTGAATAAGGTGAATGCGGCACACCAATCACAAGAACATGATGCTGATTCAAAAAGAAACGCCACATTGATTGATGATAGCCACGGGCATCCAGGTCCCAAATTCGAAAGCATTTGGCAACATGTAGCCATGTCTGAAAATCTCGAGAATTTGTTTGTCTTATATAAATAACGTAGGTTCGATGAGTAACAGGATTTTCATACGAACTGGTTTCATTCCAAGAAAAATTTATCACTGAAGATGGATCGGAAGAAGGCATTGATGACGGTATAAAATCGTTTTCACAAGGATCTTTAGAATGATCGACTAAACGGGCAGCTTTAATCAATTTTTCGATCATTCGTTCATAATTATCTTTTTTCAAACTATTATAATCAATGAAATTAAAGGAAAGAGTTAATTAAAAATGAAATTACTATTAAAAACATACCTATTTAGATCTCTCATTCGAACATATGGCAAAGTATTAAAGGCATGTTTTTTGAAATATACATCCTGGAAATATGAATTCATATTAATACCAGAAGAACCGAAATGATATGTACGAGAAACATCCGGAACAATACATTCACGGTCATGACGTATGTCAGGCAATCGCATCCACATATCCCAATCCCATAGTTTTTCAGGTGTCGGCCATCGAGTTTCAAGCTCTTCTTTATAAAGTTTGCGACTCAGTATCCATCCAAGACCGGGCATAGTTTCCACTCGATACAGTAAGCTAGGATCATGACTGGTATGCTCATAACCTTGATCATTCCAAGCTGAGACACAATATAAACTTGAATCCTGCTCCAACAATGGCATTGTTTGTCCAAAATAGCCAAAAAAATCTGGCGAAACATCGAGATCTTCTTCAAGAATAATGGCATATTCAGCATCCGGGAAGAGATTAAATGTCGCTGTTAAGCTAGCCTTATAATGTTGAGAAATACGAGCGTTTTTAATACCGATCGGGGTATGTTGAATTCCTGAGTGAATATAAAGAAACAAAAAATTATTTAAGCTTCAATCAATGATCAGTCATCATACCTCGAAGGCCAAATAATTTGGTCACTTCTAATGGTTCCTCGAAGTAACCGTCAATGAAAACGGTTATCATTGATGGATTACAACCACGAGCAGTTAATAGGGTGCGCAACATTCGATAAAGATATTGTGGACGATTTGATGCTACAATCGTTACCGGCACTCGCGATATGCGTTCATATTCGTTTTTTTCATTTAGAGGTACTCGGGATAATGAAGAAAAATCAATCATGGCAGGATCATTGCAATTACATACAGAACCATATCCTTCAATACGCGAACAAAATGATCGTCGCCGCCGATTTTCTTCATTATCAGACCATTGTTTACATTCAGATTGTTCGACTGGTACCAATGGTACTGTTGCTTGCAACAGAACTGGTGCAGCCCAGCTATTGAAATCGGGAGATTTAGCGTAAGCTTCTCCAAAAACTTCGGGTGAAGATTCGCTAACATCTTGTGAGTTTTTACGTACAACAAAACACCACATATCACGCCATCCAATCTGATGTGATCGTTTTGATCCCATTCGTTTAAGTAAATCACGAGCAGCTTGCTTCATTTGAAATGTTCCTTCATCTTTGACAGTAAATACAATTATTCGTCCATCGGTTATCAAGTTGAGAAACAAAGACATGGATTCATCTTCATGTGGTGAATAGGTATCAAATAATCGTTGAGCCATGATTGATCCGGTAGATTGATGTAAAACAAGCACATGAATTCCACGTCCTTTGGTCTCATCGGCATCATCAAGAACCTGACGAAAAATATACAAGCATAATTAATAGTAAAAGTCCGTTTGTCGATTTGATAGCTTACAGTAGTTCCATCAACCATAACATAGACTCGAGATTGACTGGATAAAATTTCCAATTTAAGTTGCCGTGAAACATGACGGCCTTCGATAGCCTGAACAGATGTCATTGAATCACCAATATCAGAATCATGTTGAAATTTTATATAATTTGATTGATCAAACGACATATAATTGGTTCGTTGCGAATCAATAGATGCATCAAGCGAAAGATAATTTCCGCCTGAAGAATCGGATGCGCCATCTGTATAATAAATGATTTTTTTTTGTTGATAAAATTATCCAAAATTAAGTTATTAACAAAAATAAATACTTACCAGAAAGGGGATTAATTTGGCTGAAAATTGTTTGCTGATTATTTCGTAAACGATTCGTTGTATCGATGATGAATAAAATATTTACGATCACAGTGGCAATTAAGACCATGAAAAATATGAACTGGAAATGAAAATAAATAAATGTTACTTTTTGAAATTCGGACAGAACATGAATAAAATTCAAATTGTAAGAATGAACAGTTCTTAATAAAAGTCTTAAAATTAAAAGTAAATTCAATGCAATCGTAATCATCATGTCAACAACAACCATTTTAAGAAGAAAAAAAAACCTTAAAGTTTTCTGGTGTTAAATGAAACATTTCCTGTATGTGTGGAAAAAACCCAAAATGGGCAAAACTTTTATCCATAATATATGCATATAAATGTAGATTTTTTATAGAATCTTTATGTAACATTTTCTTGTCAATATAAAAAAAACATGAACGGAAATTGAATTGAATTGAATAATCAGGATATTAATACGATTGTGATTCGATAGAAAACAGAAGACATTGAAAAATCAAAATCGGTTTTTTTTTGTTGAAAAAAATTTACCCAGAAGAAAAATCAATGAAAACTTTCATGGAAATTGTTATTCGGGATTATTACAATCTGGAAATGAAAACAAAACTTTTTTTCAAGCAAGAATCAAACTACAAAATAATAACAACAAATGCCACTGTATTAGAATAACAATCAATTCAAATAAAAATACAACCTGATTTGGAAGAAAAACGGAATAGTTCAAATTCATCATCATTCAATATAATGGATTATCCTACTCATTCTCATGGATAGAATAAATGTGTTACACTGACATGACAAAAATGACGAATAAATTATTAATCAATTTAATTATATGAAGTTGTAAAGTACAATAAACTGACATTTTTACTCATTTCATTTCATTTTATTTCATTTTTGGTCATTATCAAGGTAAAAGGTTACTATGGAGTATATATTATTGTTGTTTTTTTTCTTCCTACCAAACTCATCAATGTGATTTGAGTCAAACAATTTATGAAACAATGAAAATAAATCCATTAAATAGTAAAGCAAAGAATTTCATTTTTGTTTTCCATGTGATTGAAAAGTGTATAATCATAACGGTGATTACTGAATGGACAACAACAACAAAAAAGTCATGATGATGAAATGACCAAAGAATCAAAAAGCCAAAAAAGTGTAATTGTTTGAATCAACATGAAATAATGGTACCCATGATAATAATTTCAAAACAAAACAAAACAAAAAAACGAATATCAATGAAAACTTATTCCAAAGAACAATTTCAAATTTTTTGGACTGTAAATTTAAAATTTAGTATTGAAATAAAAAAAACGAACCAACTCTACAGTTAAATATATTAGATTGATAATCCCAACAATTTTTTATTCCAATATGTCAGTGTTGAGATTTTTTTTTAATAAAAAAAGATGCTGTGTTGGAAATATTGAAATTTATTTCATTTAAAATTAAATTAAAATTTATCGTTAACAATACGGGCACAGTTTGAAACACAAAATAAAATGATAGAAAGCAAGAAAAAATGCTTTATAATTTCAATTTAGTCATTAAAAATGATGATGTTGATGGTGTAACAATAAGAAAAAAGAGTTAAAAAAAATTGAACAAAAAGTATGCTTGTTGTTTCATTCCAAAAAAAATGATTCATTTTTCTTTAGGAAAAAAAACATCCCAAATGATCGATTTATATATTTGATGAGTACCCATATATAAATTCAATCGTTTCGATTTTGGAAAACATACCAAAACAAACACATTGAATGTCCATCGAATCAAGGAAGCAAATACTATTTCTGATCTAGAATAAATTGAAGTTACATTACATTACACATCATACCATACACACGCATACAAACGACAGATAAAGAATTGAATTCGATGAGTTTGAAAACTTTTCAATTCCAGCGAGAGAGAGGGTGAGAAAAATTCTTGTTCAAAAAGAATAGAGAGGCAAAAGAATTTAAGTTGATGGTCAAAGCAAAGCAAAGCAAAGAAACAGAATATTTATTGCTTTAAGAAAAACGAAAAATTTTATTTTTTCATTTTGCTTTTTTTTCAATTCGTGAATGTTTTTCTTTCTCTCACTCTCACTCTCTCTCTATTCTTGAAGGTCCCAACGGTGTATTTAGCCTGTAAATTGTCCATTATTTAACAATGAATGAAATTTCATTCGATTCTTGTATTCTTGTTTGTTTGTGTGTGTGTGTGTGCGGTGTGATATGATGCGATGCAATGTGCGTATTTTTTTATTGAATATAATAATAATAATCAAAATGTGAAATACATTTCGATATTGATGTATATCGATGATGATCGATCGATCTGTTATTGTCAGTCAGTCAGACAGAATTTAAGAGAGATGAAGCGAAATTACAATCATCCAAGAATTTTGTCTATTTTTTTTTTTTTGGCTGAAAACAAGAATCATTTGTGAAGAAAAATCATTCATTGTATGAACCGGAAAAAATTCTCTATATTTTTTTTGTGAAATTGAATTTGTGCGAAAAACAATGGTATACAAAACAAAAATGAAACCGAAACGAAACAACCTAATGGAATGATGGCTAATTGGAAAAAAATTTCATTTTTCTCTCACAATTGATTTATTTAGAGTAAAGTTATTACACAAAAGAAAGATTAAAATGATATTGATATTCACCTGAAAAATTTTGGCAATTATACGACGTGGTAAACGAAATAATAGAAAACGTTGTTGATTTGGATGACAACAAAATAATGACCACCATATTTGATGACTATTAGATGATGATCTATAATGATGATGATGATGATGATGTTTTATAGATTGAGATATTAATTTTTTTTTATCTTTGATCAAATGGTCCGATGATGAAGATGAAGATGAAATAATGTTTTGGCTAGTGGCATCATTCAATTGTTGTTGTTGCTGCTGCTGCTGTTGATGATTATTATCATAAGGATGTGGTGTTGGTGGTGGATGATAAAAACATGGCGAAGAAGAAGGTGGTGAACATTGATACAATTGATGATGATTATATGAATGATGGTTATGATGATAGAATGGATTTTCGTGATTCATTCCTTGAAATCTAGTCACATTATTCGAGCCATCATCATTCATCATTGTTTTTGTTGTTGATGAGGAAGATGAGGATACAGCTGTTGTTTTATATCTTATCATATTCGATCGAATATCGATTTGATCAGTTTTATTCAATTTATCATCATCACAATTATACATTGGATTAATGAAACAAAATTAGATGAAACAAAACCACATTGATTTTGATGAAATTAAGCGACAGAAATTTCGGACATTTAACCATGGAATATTCAAGCATAACTATTAATTCGATATAGATTATCACAGGTTTTTATTCAAAACTTTTTTCATACAAATATTATTATCTGGAAGGATGCAATAAGCTTATTATTCAAGCCGATAACAATTTAGTCGAATTCATCCACCGCTGCCACCACCAGCACCTTCATTCATAATCCAATATGGCCAATTTGTGAGGATTTTCTATTTAAATGAAAATAAATCATAATGTCAATGAAAATCAGAAAAAAAAACAGAAAATTTATAATAACAAAAACGATTTGATTATTGTTTTGTTGATGAAACAAAACAAAACTCGAAATAGAAAATCAATAATTAAATTCAAAGCAAAATTCATTTGTATTTTTTTTTTTGCATTAAATACAAGATTATCGAGGATTTTCTCTGGTGATTATGGTATTTGAACCATTTATTTTGTACAATAACCCTAAAGTCGTGATGTTAAAAAAAACAATGCAATAACAAAAAACAAACAAACAAAAATTCTAATTTCCGTATTCAAATTTAATGCATCTGTTCATTTTCCATTGCAATTGTTATAATGTTTTATAATGAAAAAAAACTAAAACCAGAATAATATTTATTCTTTGAATCTGGTTCGTTTTTTTTGTTTTGTTTTATTTTGTTTCCAAACAAAAAACATCATCATTTGATCAAAGAACTTTTTGTTTTTTGCTCATTGTTGTTGATGAGAAAAACTATTGTTAAAATTCTATGAGTTTTTTTGTTTTGTTTTGTTTCACTTTTTAGTTGACAAGTTCATAGAACCAGTGAAACAAAAACGTAATGAAATCTATTCCTGATCAAGAGATTATCTTTTAGACAGAGATCAATCCTCATGGGTAATAAACACAGAATAGTGAATGAAAATTTCTATCAAAAAAAAAAATCATCATTATTGTCACACAGTTGTCGAAATAGTCATCATATTATAATAATGATGATAGCAACGATGAAAAGCATTAAATTCAACAGAAGATCCAATGATATTCGAATGAAAGAGTAAAAAAATGAATAAAAACAGAAACAAAAAATACAGAATCCTTTATGATTTTCATGATCAATAATGAAATAAAATATGATTTCATTTCATTTCATTCATCCGTTTTCATTTTTATCAATTTCAAACTGGATTCAATATCAAGAGAATAAAAATCAAAACGAATAAAACAAAAAGTTTTAAATAAATTTTGAAAAAAAACAAATGTTTTATTCTTCAAAAAGAAACCATGAAAAAAGAGAAAGAAAGATGTTTCACATCATACATTTTTTTTGAATGACTGACATGTGAACTTCAACTGAATTTACTAACTTTATTATTTCAACAATAAAGAATATGATCATCATTGGCAACAACAACAACAAAATTACTAAACTAAATGTTGGCCATAACCAAAAAATTTCAACAAACAAAACAAAACAAAAAAGAAGAAAACAATAAGATGATAAAGATATGATATTCACCATGTGAAAGTTAAATTCATTTTTTTTCTCTCATTCACTATTTTCAAGAATAATCGAAAACAAAATTTATGATCCTTGGATGAATGAATGAAACAGCCAGACAACAAACAAACAACAACAAAAAAAAACTAATCGAAATATGAAAAATAAAATAAAATTATAGATTGGATCTTCTCTTTTTTTCGTTGAAAAGAATTCAAATTATGAAAAAAATATATCTGTGTGCTGGCCTTGATTCACAAAGCTAAAGTTTTTATCCTTATTTTTCCTTTCTATACTTTTTTTTCTTTGATTGTAAGTAAATTCATGCAAATTCATTTTCGTTTTTTTTCCTTCAATGCATGGTATATTCGCATATGTCTATCGTATCTAACACAAACATAAAGTTTTATTTTTATGGATATTATTATTATTGTTAGGATATCGAATCCTGAATAAACATCAAGCAGAAGAAAATTTTTTTGCCAGCAAGCAGATGTGTTATAAGAAAACAACAACAACAAAAAAAGTCGGTCATTCATATCGACATAATTGGATTGAGATGTTATGGTTAGATTTTTTTTCTTTCTTTCTCTTTCGCTTTTTTTTGAATCAAGTCGATAGCTAATTGCTATTTGGAATGTCCAGAATGTTATCATTAGTTTATGTTGTAATTGTCATTTGTTCGTGTATGTGTGTGTGTGTGTGATATAATTTGATTTGATTACTGTCACTATAATTTCAATCCAATAGGTTTGTTTTGATCAATAGATTATATTTATCATCATCGTTGTTGTTGTTGTTATTGTTTCAGGGTTTTAATACAAGTTAAATATTTGTGTGTGTTTATGCTTGTCATTAATTGTCATTTTTTTGGTTTAGAATCGATTTTTTTTTGAGGATTTCTTCGAAATCAAATCGATTAGAGAGAATTTTTTTCTTTTCTTAAAACATTCCAATCATATTTTATGATGATGATGATGATTGAATCGAATTGTTTTATATGTTAATGACAGTTTTTTTTTCATGATTTTATCATCAAATGTGATTGATAATTTATCATTGATATATTACATAGAACAAATGAATGAATGATTATTTTATCTTGTTCAATGTATAATCGTTATCATGGGAAATGCTTTGAGCTTGAAGATTTCGAATGGATAGTGATTATCAAGTTTTTTTATTTCTAATTGAAATATCGTGTAACAAGGGTTATATAAACATTCATACCTGACAGATAGTCATTCAATTTGATCAATCTCTTACCAATGGATTCTTCTTTTTTTTTGTTGTTGAAATCATCATCATCATTCTCATCAAGTGCAATGATTGCATTTGAGCAAAAAAAATAATTAGACGATCAAATGCATTTCACATGTTCAAACATATCATCATCATCATTGATAGATTTGTGTGTACAAAGAATTTGACTGAATTTTTTTTCGAATAAATTCTCAACCAAAAAAAATCAGTTATTATAAACAAACTTCTAATTTTATCCAGAATTCTATTTTATTTTGTGTATGATACAAATATATAATGATGATACGATTCTAAAACAAACAAAACAAAACAGGAACCACACAGTTTGATTATTATTGTCAGATATATTGTTGATGTTTGTACAATATCATCACCCTTTTATATTTGAAATGAACCAAAAAAAAAGATGATACGAAACATTAAATATATTTTCTATATAAAGGCTATATCAATAATATTCAATTGCAATAATCGGTTGCATAAAACATTCAGTATGTTTGTGTGTGTGTAAATATATTGAATGATTAATGGATCATCACCATACATATCTGTGTGTTTTGGTTTTCACCAGAAAATAAAACCAACAACGAAAAAAGAAAACCAATTTGATATACTATAGAATAAGTGAGCAACTAAAAAATCTGATAGAGATATCAGAAACCTTTATTATTTTCCTGGAACACAAGTGTCGATTTTTTTTTTGCTAACAACTAAAGTAATGATTGAATGAATGTGGAAAAAAAGTAATATTTTGTTTTTGCAACGAACTTTATAGCAACAATAATAAGGACAAAAAACTTGAAGAAAATTTTTCGATAATTTAGATCTATAGATTCTCAATCATTTTTTAATGATCATTACCATCATCATCATTCTGTCGATCATCATAATGATGATCAAAAAAAAATTCAGCATAGGATTGAATGAACAATCAAGGTGATCGAACAATATTAGAGAAATATTATTTTCATTATTAACAGTTACTTTAAAAAGAAAAAAACGTAGCAAAATTTAAAATATAATCAACGGCAAATAAAAAAATTATAATTCTGGATCATTAACACTTTCTGTCAGTCAAGTGATCGAACAACACAATGAACAAACATTCAAACAGAATTGAAAGTTTAGTTTGGCAGGCAAACATTTTTTTCCATTTTGATTGACATTTTTGTATCAAACGTCTGTTTTAAGCAATTCTTTTTATTTTCTTTTTTTTTGAGTGAAATGAAACAAAACAATACGATAAAAAAATAGAGGAAAAATTCAATCAACCGACGTTTATTTATCATTAATTTATTTGGTTATGAATGATTATGATTCGGTCATCATCATCAAAGCATTTTTGAGATGAATCTGAATTAAATCAAATACAACAACAAAAGAAAGAAAGTGAGAAAGTGTCTGCTATTCAAAAAAAATGTGAATGTTATTACTCAAACAAAACAAAACAATGGTACCATGGTATACCATTGAAAATTATCATTAACATGATTGACATGATTTGTTTATACAATACAATGTGTGTGTGTGCATGAATTCGATTCATTCATTTGTCGAATAACCAAAAATAAAATGAAAAAAAAGTATCACCTGTCACCTTTGTAAGAATAGCGAACAAGAACAAAAATGTCAGGAAATGTGTGCTGTCTATTCATAAAACTCCTCATTTAGATTTTGTTTCATATAAATAAATATTTTGTCTATTGATTGTCATCATCGGTGTATTCAAAAGACGTGACTATTGCAACCAAAAAAAAAAACTTTTATCGGCTGTCAAATCTCGATCATTTTTTTCCAATATTGAATATCTAGGGTTATATCAAGATAAAAGTATCCCAAAATCAATATATTCATATTTATTATCATTATTATCATCAAATAAGTAAAAGAAAAAAATGAGAAGAAAAGAAACATGTGATATATTGAATTGAAAGAAATCAATATCCGAATTATTATTATTATTATTATTATTAATCAATGATGGACATCATTCATATACATCAGTTAGTATAATGGAATTTATTTGATTGCATGCAAGAAAAAAACTAATCAAATAGAATCATGAAATGAATCAATTGAAATGTTTATGATAAGAATGTTTTTGAAAAATTTAAACAAAATTTTAGTTTTACTATTACTTCTTTAGTTTCATTGATAATGTTTATGTTTTTAATCAAACTTTGTTTTTATCAATGTCCATATTATTCATTTGGAATTATATTCGATCGAAATTAGATGAAAATTAGCGATTAAAGAATATACAG